CCTCTCCTCTCCTTTCCTCCTCTCTTTCCTCTCTCCTCTCCTCTCCTCTCTCTCCCTCTCTCCTCCTCTATCCCTCCCCTCCTCCCTCTCCTCCTCTCTCCTCTCCATGCCTCTCCTTCTCTCCTCTCCTTTCCTCCTATCTCGCTCCTCTCCTTCTCCTCCTCCTTCTCTCCCTCTCTCCTCCTCTCCTCTCCCTCCTCCTCTCTTCCTCTCTCTCTCTCCTCTCCTCCTCTCTCTCCTCTCTCTCCTCTCTCATCCTCTCCCTCCCTCCCTTTCCTTCTTCTCTCCTCCTCATCTCCTCCTCCCTTCCTCCTCTGCCTCTCCTCTCTCCTCCTCTCCTCTCCTCTCCTCCTCTCCTTCTCCTCCTCTCCTCCTTCTCCTCCTCTCCTTCCCTCTCTCCTCCCTTCCTCTCCTCTCCTCCTCTCCTCTCCTCCTCTCCTCCTCTCGCTCCTCTCCTCTTCCTCTCTCTCCTCTTCCTCCTCTCCTTTCCTCTCTTCTCCTCTCCTCCTCTCCTCATCTCTCCTCTCCCCTCTCTCTCTCTCCTTCTCCTTCTCCTCTCCTCTCTCTCCTTCTCCTCCTCTCTCTCTCCTCTCCTCCTCTCCTTTCCTCTCTTCTCCTCTCTCCTCTCCTCTCTCTCCTCTCCTCCTCTCCTCTCTCTCCTCTCCTCTCCTCTTCCTTCTCTCCTCTCCTCCTCTCTCTCTCCTCTCCTTCTCTCCTTCTCTCCTCTCTCTCCTCTCTCCTCTCACTCTCTCTCCTCTCCCTCTCTCTTCTCCTCTCCTCTCCTCTCCTCTCTCCTCCTCCTCCTCCTCTCCTCTCCTCCTCTCCTCCTCTCCTCTCCTCCTCTCCTTTCCTCTCTCCTCCTCTCCTCTCTTCCTCCCTTCCTCTCCTCTCCTTCTCTCCTCTCTTTCCTCTCTCCTCCTTCTCCTCTTCCTCCTCTCTCTCTCCTCTCACTCCTCTCTTCTCCTCCTTCTCCTCTCCTCTTCTCCTCCTCTCCTCTCCTCCTCTCCTCTCCTCTCACTCCTCTCTTCTCTCCTCTCCTCTCTCTCTCCTCTCCTCTCCTCTCTCCTCTGTCCTCCCTCCTCTCTCTCCTTTCCTCTCTCCCTCCTCTCCTCTCTCCCTCCTCTCTCTCCCTCTCCTCCTCTCCTCTTCTCCTCTCTCTCCTCCTCTCTCTCTTCTCTCCTCTCCTCCTCCCTCCTCTTCTTTCCTCTCTCCTCCTCTCTCTCCTCTCTCCTCTCCTCTCACTCCTCTCTTCTCCTCACTCTCCTCCTCTCCTCTCCTTCCTTCTTCCTCCCTCCTCTCTCTCCTCCTCTCACTCCTCTCCTCTCCTCTCCTCTCCTCTCCTCCTCTCACTCCTGCTCTCCTCTCCTCTCCTGCTACCTCTCCTCTCTGCTCACTCCTCTCCTCTCCTCTCCTCTCAACTCCTCTCCTCTCCCTCCTCTCTCCTCTCCTCCTCTCCCTCTCACTCCTCTCCTCCTTCTCCTTTCCTCCTCCTCCTTCCTCTGTTCTCCCTCTCATTCCTCCTCCTCCCTCTCCTCTCTCTTTCTCTTCTTCTCTCCCTCCTCCCTCCTCTAACTCCCCTTTCCTCCTCCCTCCTCTCCCTCTCCTCCTCTCTCTCCTCACCTCTCACTCCTCCTCTTCTCTCTCCTCACTCTCCTCCTCCCTCCTCTCTCTCCTCCTCTCCTCTCTCCTCTCCTCTCCTCTCCTCTCGTCACTCCTTCCTCCCTCCTCTCCTCTCCTCTCACTCCTCTCCTCTCCTCCTCTCCTCTCCTCTCCTCCTCTCACTCCTTTTGCGTCGTTGCCTCTTTACGTCCTTGGCTCCTCTCCTCTCCTCCTCTCACTCCTCTCCTCTCCTCTCCTCTCTCTCCTTTTTGCAACTACTTTTGTTTATCTCATAAATATTTTGATCAAAAAGCAGAGGCAGTACGTTCGGGGGGTTCAGGGTGGTTTAACTTTATGTAGCGTTCACTTTAATATTTTCAAGGTGTTGTTTTTGGCCTTAAAGGCGTAAGCGCAAACGTCCGTGTCATTTCCTGTCCTTCACGTTTGCTTCAGAGATGAATAGATAACCTCCGTCTGTACTTTATTCAATCGCCTTATGATTGTCAAGTAATCTGATGATTGATTATTGTGTGAATCCAGTAGCTAGAATAAGAGCTACTGTATAAAGCAAATACACAAAAATCTAATTTGTTTACAGAGCAAGTTTAAAAACAGCAAACAGCTGACCAGGAGCTGTACACCATCAAAAAAATACAAAATACGAAAGCAGACAAAAAAATAAAAACAGCCATCATGGGAGACGTTATTAAAAAAAGAAATAGTGTCAAATCACATAGAATAATAACAAATAAGCCAAACTGGCAAGTACACTATGAACACAGTTTATAACACCTGTACACCTGCTTATTCATCCAATCAGCCAATCGCGTGGCAGCGGTGCAGTCTGTAGATCCTGCAGGTCCAGGTCAGGAGCTTCAGTTCATGTTCACACCAAACGTCAGAGAGAGGAAGAACTGTGAGCTCACGTGAGTTTTTACTCAGAGAGGCGTCCAGTGAGCAGCAGCTCTGTGTGGATGAGAGAGGTCAGAGGTCAGAGGTCAGAGGACAGCCTGGCTGGAGCTGACAGAAAGGCGACGGTCACTCAGATAACCACTCAGTGGATGCAGACTCACCAACACTGGACAGATGGACACCTGGTCAACCTGCCTTGTGTCAACAGTCCAGGTGTTTTCTTGTCGCGCTTTGGGCCTTGATACCAATCAATCATTGGTTTGACGCCACAGTCAAGAGTGTGGCTACTTCCTGCAGGATAACGCTCCGTGTCACAGAGCTAAAGTCGTGTCAAACTGGTTTCCTGAACCAGTCTCCAGACATGAATCCAGCAGAGCCTCTTTTGGGATGTGGCAGGATGAAAGTGCAGCTGACAAATCTCTAGAAGTTACGAACTGTGCACCAACATTTATTTAACTGTCATCAAATTAACATCATTTAGACTAAAAAACAAAAAACAAAACAGAGACCAGGACAAAATAGAACATACATTCATTTGTGGTTTTAA